CATCATACTTTTGCAGTAGTAATTTGACAGTTGGTTGTTTTAAAAAATATAATTTATAATATAACTGAGAATAGCTTAGATGTGGGATTGTCAATGCTCTAACACCCAATATGGGATCTATAAATTGGGCAGTGTGGAAAGCCTTTGCCATTCTTAGTGGAAAACATAAATGTATATATTATATCCCACATCACTATGGATTGGAAGAAACCATGGTGTTTATTGCTGGTGCATCTTTTTAAAGATATTCTTAGCTGACTGTTAAGTGATGCAATAACCATCACTGATAAAATAAAAATATAATATTTAATAATTTAAAAATAAATATAATGTTAACATAACAGATTTTAAGCATTTAAGAGATGTAGAATTTCAGGAATCTTATAAATTAACTTTTGATATTCTCAACAGAAATCGTTTTAATCAAAGGAAAGTATCCATAGCAAGAAATATCGTCATGTAAGTTGCAGATCACAGTTTACAGCTTGGGAAAAGGGTAATGGTCTGTACCACTGCCAAGTGTATGGACTTCGTAAACAAATGGTTTGAATCGATAAATGATCAAAATTCAAAGCAGGCTTTAAGCAAGAGAAAAGTGCAAAGAAACAATATGATTTTTAAAGGACACCACTGAAGTTTTTGAGATGTTAAAATTTGCAACAGAAATGGTAAGACAAGCAGAAAAAACCTATCCGGAGTGATGTCGTCTTAACCATGACTTTGATTCTACTAGCTCACTATGAAAAATTTCCAGAGCAAATGGCTTGGATTTCTTTTTACTGACTGGCTTACAGAATGGAGACAGCAAAGAAAATCTATTTGGGTATTGAGATGTGAGCTATCCTTTCTTGAGGCTCTCAGGTGGAAAAATAACTGGAATTGCATCTCGACCAAAACGGATTATGATGGAGACGACAGCGAACATTTGTCCAGCTTTTAGAGGAAATTTTTGAAAAGAAGGATGAGAAAATTATGGATAATATTAAAATAGAATGGGACACAAGGAATGAAGTTCGATCTCTATCTGTAAAGAAAATAGTATATTATATGGCGGGCTATTTATTAGTGAACACGAGAGGAGGAGAAAAGATGTAAGGAATGTTTTGAATATGTATGTTCTGAAGAGGTGGACATATGGTAGATATGGATTTAACAAAAGTTGTATATTATCTGTAAATAATTACACAAAAGTTCTCCAGTTTATTCTGTCAAAAGTGCACATCAATTACTTTTACCTACGGAAAACAAATCGGGATCTGGGAAGAATGTCGGTTCAAAGAAGAAAGAAGACCATAAGGATTTCTAACCAGAAAATATAAATTCTAAATTGAAATTAGTAAATTCATTGTAAATGACATGGCAAGATTAAAAGAAAAACAATGAAGGATTTTATAACATTTAGATTTACAATTTTTGGTCGGAAAAAGAAAATTAACGTAAAGGACAGTTAAAATATATTCTTGGGAGTAAAAGTGTAACAACGTGTGCATTATCTAAAGATGTGAAAAAATGTTAATTACCATTTTTTCAAAGTACATTTCATTTTTTAGTAATTGCCATAATGATACAATTGTATGGTGTAGATCAGGAGTGTCCAACCTTTTTGTTCCTCTGGGCCACATTGGAAGAAGTCATGGAGTTTTGGGCCACAAGTATATATATTTGTGACCCAATCCTTAAATATACAAGTATATTTAAAGATTAACATATCTAGATTATAGTAATAAGTATTAAAACTTTATCACAAGAAAGGATATTTTAAAAATTACTTCCACAGATACTTTCAATTTTTACTTAGAAATATATAAATTCATTTATTATAAAGGAGACAAACAAAAATTTATTTGAAAAACACAAATATTTATTTTATTTGGGTATCTAATTAATAAAAAAAATGACGAAACACCATTCTAAAGTGCATTTTTATTCGACTAATATATTTATAAATAATATGAAACCCAGAAAGTAGCCAATGCGCAAACTAAAAAAAGGGTAGCCAAATATTGCAACGCTGGAAAAAAAACTAAATAATGCTGGAGTTGGAACTCAAAGGAGTATAGACCCAAATTTGAGAAAGAAAAAGGCCAAAAGATAAAAAGTAGTGAGAAAGGTTGGAAAATTAAGGGTCAATATTTGCATAACAGAAGCTCTATTTAACCTTTCTTGCTACTTTTTATCTTTTGGCCTTTCTCTTTTTCTCAAAATAGGGTCTATAATCCTTTGAGTCACAACTTCAGCTTTATTTAGTATTCCTTTGTCATTCACACATCTCCAAGTATTTGAAAATATTTCCTTTTCACTCAAAAATAAAATAGTATAAAAGTTTACGGCTTTGTGAAACATCTTTTTTGAGTTTATGCCATCAAAATAAGTAAATAAAAAAAAAATAAAACAATTTGTCGGTTTTGTTTACACGTTTATTGGGCCGCGGGTTGGACAGCCCTGCTGTAGATATTTTATTGCACCTTTTTAAAATTGACAAAATAAAACAAAATATTTTTTATTGTTACTGTCTTTGTTATTTTCATCAAATTATGCAAAAGGTAATAAAAACTATTGTTTCTTTTACACTTTTAAAAATAAAAGGCTTTAGTTTATCTGGCAAACAGGCACTACCATGCACAGACCAGGCTGCACTTCAGTCTGGCATGGCAGGATCATCTGGGTTTAACTTCTTTTTAGAAATTGAGGTGAAACTATCTAATGGCAAACATTTCGGGCACAAAAAGAAATTGGCTGATGTCTGTTGGCGTCACAAACAGATTTCAAAAATTATTACTTAATGGGATAAATCAAAAAGTCATTTTAATTTCTTTTGTCAGAATTTGTATTCAAATAAGTGCACTATGTTATTGGCACCCATCGACTCAGCATGGCACATGTCTATGGCCACTCTCCAGTGGTGGCCGGTACGACAATAACCACATCCCAATCTTCCGTTATTATTTACAACTTGGCCAGGATGGAAGTAAAGGAGGGGCATAAATTCAGGTTACCAGCCCCAGCCCCTTTCTTACTCAAACACAGATTTCAAAAAGGTCTTTATGGCAGAAAGCACTAGACAAAATGGGTGGGAGTGGAAGAATAGGGAAGGAGGTTGAACAGGGAATAAGAATGTCGGAGCAGAGGAGAAATGTTTTGGTTTATTTAAGCCCAGTCGTAAAACCTACCTTTGCATATGCTTTAAAGCAGGGGTCGCCAAAGTGGTCTATATCGACCCCCAGGAGTCGATGCAACATCTCTAGGGGGTCGATGTGGCAATGGGTTACAACCTGTTTTTTTTTTTTTTGCTTATACATATATCAGAAATCACGTTTATTTTATTTTGCTCATACACTTACACTTGTAATAAAACTTTATGGTGGGGGTCATTGTGAGGTTTTGGAAAGTGGTTGGGGGTCGACAGTTAAAAAAGTTTGGGGACCCCTGCTTTAAAGCAAGGATGGGAAACCTCTCTCTACGTAAGGGCTGCATTTCAAAACTTTGAACTGACTCAAGAGAAAAAAGAAAAAAAAGACCTGTAAATCACAATTATTTATTCATGTATAATTATAAATTAGCTTAGGTATACTTAATTTAGCTTCTGGATTGATGTAAACATAATATATCAGAAATATTTGGCTAAATATTAGTCCTTGCTAGCTTCTTGATAAAAACAGCAAAAAGCGCCAAGAGTCGCACAATTAGTACAATCGCTCCTCAACGCATGCGCTGCTAGTCGTGTGGATTTAAGATATTTTGAACGCCAGCAAAAGCTTGTTGCACGTGACCAACGGAATTACCGAATGCTATAATTTGGAAATTGACAAGAAAAAATTTTTCCGTTTTCTACTTGGAACATTCTGCATGTTCTAATTTTCAAATTTGTTTCTTTTTTCGCCTGAGGACGACGATATAATACTTGTCGAAAATACTTGCGATATAAGAAAAATCGTATTAACGCTGAACTCAGTGCTTTTTATCAAGAAGCTGTACAATTTTGGCGTGAGTTTTATTTATTTATCTATTTCTATGTCCTTGCTAGTTTTAAGTTAGTTTCAATTTGAGTCTGTTAGCCAGTTTCTTGTTTTAATTTTTACTAAATTCATTGTGGGAAAAACTATTCACATACATAAGTTGAAAATAATGTCTGAATTTTTGCAGCAGACTTCCTTAAGCTAGGGAAATTGATATAATTATACATATTTTATGCGATACAGGCCACAAAAAATATTAATGTGGGCCGTGGGTTGCCTGTCCCTGCTTTAAAGTATTTCTCTCTCCGGACAATTTTTAAGCCTGAACCACGTCTCCTTTACCCAGCGCCGTTTATTGTTTTTATTTCTTTGTGTACCAGTAAGACTTTGGCCTGAGAGTGGGGTAAGAACAGCAGACGGGACACGTCTGCTGTTTTGGGTGAGAGTACGGATTCCTGTCCACTTTTTAAATACGTTTCCCGAAAATCATTGCCTTTCCGGCTGTCCATCTGAGTTAAGACACGTGACTGCAGCCTCCTCCCGACACCTAACTGGCCTAATATGATTTTGTAGCATAATCTTCCAGGGCAAGATAAAAAGGAAAGCCACCTCTTTTGATCTTTCTGTTTTCTGGAGAAAACGACAAGCATCAGTACGTACGAATTTTTACATTTTGATCTGTTAGAGAGTTTAGATTCTACTGGAAATTAGATCCTGGCAATGAAAGGAATTGCCACTTTTGGTATTCTTAGGCCTTTCACTGCCACAAACTGTTTTACTTACCAAAAATGATATTTTGGCCAGAATATTGGGGTTACTGGCCATTTGCAACACCTGGAAGTTGTAAATACTCGTGTTTTCTAACTTTTTGGTTTTGTCATTTCTTACCTATCCTATTTTTACTGTTTAAAATATTTTGGAAAATGCATTCTGTAACAACTTGTTTTTAAAAGAAGTTTTAAAAGTTTGTTATCAACATTATTATCTCTATTATTATTATTGGAATTAACTTAAAATTACATATCTTTTTTCTTATCTTTAAAGATGTCTGAATACTTTTAATTTTGCGAGAAATGCAAGAAACCAACAAGAAAAATAAGAATGTAGAAAATGAATCGTGTAAGGATTGCGAAGCCACCTTTACATCCGATAACGGTAAGTAATAAAAGCCTCTAAATCACCCTTAAAAAAGTGAAGTGATTTTTTCTAATTTGATTACACATAATTAAAAGATGTTAATAAGAAGGTGTTGAATGATCCTAAATTGGAATCCAAAATAATTTCATCTGTTATCCAAACATAAAATTTTCCTGGTCTCTCCTTATTGTAAATAATAGATCTTTTATTAGAGATGTTTGGAGCTGTCTGTTGGCTGGTTAGCTGGTCTCCCCTTTCTGGATTCGTTTGCCAGTGGCCAACTGCAAGCAATTTTTCCCAAAGCCTTTACAGTAAAAGAAGGCAATCTCAGAAAAACCTTTGTTTTTACCTTTGATGGAGCTCTTTCTCTTGGATTTTGGTGTTGTGTACCAGTAAAAAGCTCTCCATTTTTTATTATAATTAAGAGCTTATTTTTTATACAGGTTGGGGTATATGGGGTCACCTATCCTTTCCATTAGTGGGTAAAAAGGCAAATATCCTATAACGTTGCAGCCATTAAATGTATATTTGGGCATTCGGAAAGATGTCGGCCACACCAGGTAATTCGACTTGGAACAAACAAAAATGTCAAATATAGAAATATTTTTTAGCAGGGATGTTTCTTTACCTGATACGATAATGAAAATACATGCACCTACTGTACCTATTACAAATGTTAATTAAACCTCATGGACCATTTGGTCTCAACTCCTTTGCTTTTGAAATGACAAAAGATTTATGGTTTTTGTTGGGAAGATAGACCAGAACTGCAAAAGTAACATCAAAAAATTATGATTCTTGACAAAATGGAGCTGTGGCAAATTGAGAAAAACACAAGCAATCACAATAATAAACTTTGAAGGAGAATACATGAGGGATCTAAACAAACAGTTTGAATTACATGTGTTTTTTTCATGTTTTTAATAGAGAATTCAAAGGATCAAGAGAAATATTCAAATTAAACAAGTTTGAATTAGTAAAGTTTTACTGTATAATTTTGTTTTATCTTCAAAGTTTTCAAACTTCAAATTATACTGAAAATAAAATATTTTAATGAGTGTTAAATGTACATCAGAGTTAAAGAATAAATTTACTAATTAAATTTATTTATTAAAGAAAATAACCATTATATATATTGAAACTTTTTCTTTTAGTTACTTTAGATAAAAGTAGAAAATCATCACCAAAACTAAACACTGAACAAAACGAAGATTTTCCAGTTCCTGAAAACACTAGAATATTAGAGCATCAAATTGCTGGTCATCAGCATGGTCAGGGAAGAACAAAACTTGGTTAGTAACTTTGTTTATTTAAAATTACAATAAACTTTACATGGTTTATTTGCTATTTTACAAGTAAATTTTTCAAGAGAATTGGTCTTAAAATAGCATTCAGGCCAAGACTCCACTAGTTTAAAAATGGGCGTAAAAACCTTTGCCGTAAAAACCTATGCGTAAAAACTTTTAATCACGTGACCTATTTGCGATTGCGATGGAGGTCTGACTAGCGAAGTTTTTACGGCGACGGTACTATCAAAGTTATAAAGATAATGATTATATTTTACAAGTTTTTTTCTGTACTATAATTACAAATGTAGTAAAAATAATATCTTTACTTTCATATATTAACTTTTATTATCGTATTATTAATTAAGATAATATACAGCACTTATTAAGCTTAGCTTTTTTCATTATATACTCCTCTAAATTGAAGGATTTTTCCTTTGGCTGTCCGTATTGCGTGATTTAGTCATCCATTATTATAATCGGGATACTTCTTGTTGTAGATACACGAATACTTTTGGATGTTTTCGATAAATCTTTCCAGATCTGTTCTAGAGTAGCCACGAGGGAACGTATGCAAAAGCTCGTTTTTTGCCATTTTTGCACCGAGTCACCTAGATTTAACTGACTTTTGATTGGTGGATGGTACTGTTTTACAGCCGTATTCGCATCCAAAGTTGAACACTGTTCAACTTTGATTAGCTTTTACGACCTACTCGAGCGTAAAATATCAGGGTCACATGGTTAAAAGCTTTTATGGTGAGGGGTTTTTACAACGTTTTTATGATAGTGGAGTCTCGGCCTCACTTTTGAAATAAGAAAAAGGAATTTATATTTTATTTTTAAAAGATGCTATTGGATTTCAAAATGAATACTACAGATAAATCAAAATCTTAGCTATTTACATTATATCAATCACAAATTAATGTACTATATATATATACTTAAAATCATGACACTTTCCATTACAAACAAAAAGAAACAGTGACACTGGAAATTGATTTGATAAGTTATCACAAAATTTTTTATCATTAATAGTGTATATTGGGAATAAGGGATGAATCCCTTGGGATGAGGAAACGGGTTAAGCTGCCCATGGTGGCCGGAGGAAAAAGTAGAAAAGGCAACACCAGAAATTGATGAGTCATCACAAAATTTTTAAATGAGTGGCAAAACAAACCAGGTAATCATGGAATTGGAATTCTCTGTAGGACATGCAAAAAACTTTTGATGTTTGACTGATTTGAAAAAAGAATTTTTCCTGGAATCAGAAGGTGGTTTTATGTTTTGATTTTTATGGAGAAAATCTGAAAGGAAAGTTTTTTTAGTAATTTGAATAAAACCTATGTTTCTCCAATTAATTTGAGTGTAGAGGGGCATTTTGAAATGGGCTTGAAATTAGTTTCTCACTAAGAGTGAGGATCAAATTTTATTAATGTCTTTGCATAAAAATAAAGGAAAGATTAAAAAATTGTAGTTTGGATGCTGATGAAAGTTCTTTGACATCAATTTTGCCAGTGAAAACATCTCCAGAGAATTTGAAAATGAAAAATTACAACAGGGATTTTTGACATCAACAGTAATAAAAGCAGAAGTCTTTACCAGTTACCAAACTTTTGATCATGTTAGAATATATGTATAGTTGCAAGCATAAGCTTTTGAACAATGAATGTTTAGACAATAAAATTTTTAGTTTTTTTTAAAGAAATAAATGACATTAATAATAATGAATTCAACTCAATGATGAAATAATAATTCTCAAGGCTAGAATATTGGCTAGAATAGCAAATGGTTTTGAAATGGTAAATTTAGTGACAAAATTTATTTTAACAGAACAAAATTCAAATATATAAAATACAACTTAGTGTTTTGTGGCATATCCTTTTGCATTAATAACTTCCAAGCAACTGCGAGGCATAGAATTGCAAAATTTTCAAATGTTTTCTTGACAGTTGCAAGCTACTCTGCCTGCAATGATTCAAACAAAGCAGCTGTTGAGGCATGTGGTTTGTGTCCTACACTATGACCAATTATTTCTCAAACTAGGCCAGGTCAAAACCCTAACTATTCTCTTAGCACATTGGCAGTGTGTCTGGTGTTGTTGTCCTGTTGGAAAATCCATCCTCTCTGCATTTTTTTGGAAAGCATAGGGCAGCATATGCTTTTCAAGGATGTCTGATACTGTAACTGATCCATAATTCCATTGACCCATACAAGAGGGCCAATACCTGTTAAAGAAAATGCAGTCCAAACTATTACTGATCCAACTCCATGCTTAAGAGTGTTTTTGGTAACATTAATCCATGTTACCAAAATATCTTTCATTCTTGGGCCATTGGATGTAATGTTTACTTACCATCACTCCCAAACAGTAGAAATTTAGATTCATCTGACCAGAGCATTTTATGCCACTGATCTAATGTCCAGGATTGATGAACTTGCACAAATTCTACTCTTGTCTTAGCCTTTTGTTTCAGTCAATTATTTCTTACTGGGATGTGTGCAAGCAATCCAGCATTTCTCAGCTGTGTTATACTGTGTTCATCTTTAATTTCACAAGTAATGTCGACTCCATTTTTGTGTGGATCCACTACTAACTCCCTCCTTGTTACTCTGTTTATCTGTACAATTGTTTTCCTTAGTCTCCCACTTTGTTTCTGATCAACTACACTTTTTCAAGATGTAGTAAACAATACCTCTTGATACTTGGAATGTGCCTGCAACATCAGATACTTTTTCCCTGTAGCAATGAATAATTGATTTCTGGTTTTAAACAATTATATTTTTCCCTTTCCCTTTAAGAGACTGTGGTAAAGTATATGAAATACAAAAATTTAATATAATTTGTGTACTTGTACTTCTGAAATTTTCTTTTCAATCATACAAACCCAATGTATAAAAATTTATGCTCTTGTAAATTTGCTTATTACTTTGAAATGCATACTTATTTGCTTATTCCAACTTCAACAATTGATTATTATTGCATCATTGGGTTGAATTCTTTATAATTCGTGTTATTTATTTCTTTTTACAACAATTACAAATTTTATTGTCAAAACATTCATTGTTCAAAAACTTATGCTTGACATCGTAAGTAGATTACTGTCAGTCATAGACAGTTGTATGTAATGCTGTCAAGATGTAGATCAAAGGCAGGTATTGGTATTCAAAGTAAGAGTGAAATTAAATATGTTGTTTGGAAAGAAGTTTTATAAAAGATTTTTTATTGAAATTATTATTATGAATAATGTTTTATATTGGAAACAAGTGTGTGAGTAATAGACAAACAAGTTCAGGAGCAGGGTGTTGTGTTGCCTGCAATATCAGGGAAGAAAAGCTCTCTAGTAAACATATACAGTGGAACCTCAGTATACGTCTGCTTTAGAATATGTCCAATTCGGAATAAGTCCTGTTTGGACGAAACAAATTTTGCTCGGTATACGACTTTTGTTCGGTATATGACTTAATTATAAGTGCCATCTATGAACAAGTAGCACTATCGGTGTACTAGGCCAGATTAGATGTTCACGGTGCCACGGTTTATAACTTTGTTAAATTTCTTTTGATTTTAATTTGCAAGTAACATTTTATTATTTGTATCAATCATGAATTGCAAAAAGGCAACAGAAAAATAAAAAAATGACAATGGAACTGAAAAAAGAGATTGTTGAGAAATATGAAGGTGGCATGCGTGTTCGAGATTTAACTGTTGCATTCCGTATTCCGAGAACGACGATATCGACAATCGTGAAAAATAAAGACATTATTAAATTTGCTAACGTTGCGAAAGGGGTTAAATCAATTTCTAAACAGAGATCGAAGACATTAGATCATGTCGAGAAATTGCTTTTGCTTTGGATAACTGAAAAACAGTGTGCCAGCAACAGCGTATCGGAAGAAATTATTTGCGAAAAGCTAAAGGGATACATGCTGATCTCGTGAAAAATCAAGCAGTAACTAGCGAGAAAAGCGAGGTGTTTAAAGCCAGCCTTTTTTTTTTTACATGAGAACGGATTAATCATTTTTACATTACTTCTTATGGAAAAGGTTGGTTCGGTATACGTCTTATTCAGTATAAGTCCAAACACCAGGAACGGATTAAGGTCTTATACCGAGGTTCCACTGTACTATTAAATTAACAATACAGATTAGAATGATTTAAAAATAATTGCAAAATTAAAAGAAATTTTAACAAAATATTAACTGAAATTTATTACTAAAAATTAAACATATTTTTTAATTATTCATTTACAGGAACCTTCAAATTTGTTTCATTTGGAATACAATTTTACTATTGAAAAGGTGGTGATCTTCTCTTGATCATAAGATAGTAATTTGAAATTTGTTAAACTGGTTTAAACATATCTAAACATTTGTGAAATATAAAAGATTTTTTCATCTTAAGTTATCATTGTTTCCTTAAGTTTCAAATAGAAAAAAAAATATTTGTAGGATTACTCTTAATTGTATTATAAATATTGAAGCCACCAAACTATTGTCTCTATTTTATTATTATGGTTAATATTTTATTTGTTTTACTAATCTGTTAACACTTACCCTGCTGGCCCTGTGGACACAGTTCCTTTCCTATGTGCTGGTTAATTTTTACTATTTTACAGTATATTCTACTGATTCGTGAGTCTAAAAAAATTTCTATAATAAACTTGCCATCACTGATTGGTTTTTTTGTGAAGAGCATTCTTTGAAGTTTCTAAACTAGCAGCAACTGAGTTAGGATTATTTGAGATAACTTCATCAAAACTGCTTTTTTGTATGACTTGATACAATTCAATTTCTGAAATTTTCTGCATCAGTTATTCCATAATTTCAGTGCTTATGATTTTGCTTATTTCATAATTTTTTGCTTTATAAATTTTAACCATTTTATAATTTTTATTTGTGTAATTGCTATCAATGA